TAATAATGATTATATTAATAATGAAAAGCCGTGCATTGTCTTAAACTATATCTGATGTAAGCATTATAATAGGTTCAGCTTCTTTTATAAACCGCATTGTAATTGTATACAGGCACATTTAAACACTTAGCATTAAGATTATAAACTGTGATAAATTTTACATTGTTTAACAGACTTCAAATTTAAAGAAAACAAAAAAGGATAAAAACAGAAAATGCAAATAAATAATAGTTCAATAGTTCTCTATAAATTCATAATATTAAAAATAATTTAAAATTCGTTCAATATACAATAAATCTTTGTAATCCTAACAAATATTGTATTTTTAATAATAACTGGTGTTTTTTGGGCATATACTAAATATATGAGAGGTACAAGTGAGAGTGAAATTATAGTCCAGAAATTATGAGCTTTTCTAAAGATGGAATAAATTGAAGAAATCTGTTTGGGGAATTTAATATAGAAATTGTTTACAATGTAGCTTGGATCATTCTTGTTGCAGTTTTTTTATTTAATTTTTTTTTTTTTTTTAATTTTAACAAAAGTAGGAGTTGCTGAAAACGGAATTTCTATTTATTTTAGAGTTAATTTGAACAAAGCAGAAATATATATTGAGTTTTTGCAATGTACCTTTGGTACTTTTTTGTTTAAACTGATATAAATGACTAGCACACTTATCAGAAATCCACTAATATTTTAGAGACAGCTTCAATGGGTAAAGTAGAAACATTATCACGTATGTTGCTATTTACAATTTACCTATGGTACCTTTTTGATGACGGAATTTAACAAAGTCTTGATGAGGACAGAGATAATAAAAATAAATATTAGATTACAAGGTACCTTTGGTATTTATTTATTTATTTATTTTTTTTTTTTTTTAAGAAATCAAAGTGAAAATAATGGCAAAGAATACGAAATTCCATACTCACTTTATAGATATCTTGAGTCTATAAGGAATTATATGCCATACTTATAGATAACATTCTACATAGCCAGTTGAACTGGCTGCCTTTAAATATCCTATAGTCTAGCTGAAAAGTTTTCATTGAAATCGCAGCTAATTACCTTTACAACGTTGCAGTTTTTCTTTTGCCGAGTGAAATTAACATAAATTACATATTATAATTCATTACATCGAGCCATGTACCCAAATGTCATTTGTAGCTGAGCTGAAAAGCAGAGACATGTACATTAAAAAAATATATCGCATTAATGCAAACGAGCTGCAAAAAGTGGAGGGGCTAATAGAGAGTGGAAAGCGAGCTACTTAAATGCAATTTAATGTGCATTGTGTACTACATTTGGGGATTTGCAAATGAGCTTTACGAGAGTGGAGGCATTCCATAAAATGCAAAATGAAGATGAAAACTAAAGCTGGCTTTAAATTGATGTCAAGTATTTACTCAAGTATGAACTCCTTTCTGTTTAAAGCCAAGCTTTGCTATTACCCGAACAGCTGTTCTGAAGAACGGAATACCCCTAATGTATACGCGCATACATACATACATATATACCATGAGCCACAAGCCCTATTGTAGTGCGAAGCGAGGTTTTGGCACACAGCCACAATAAATTACGCGACAGAGAAAACGTTTGCTGTCAAACTCTACAACTTGGAGTCTCTCTCGCTCTGTGTGTGTGTGTGTGTGTTCGGGGAGTCTGGTGTTTTGAAGGGGGGAGCCGAACAATTTGTAACGACTATCGGCATTTGATAAATTAACATTCAGCAGTCTCTCGATTATGCAACAAATTGTCATTTGAATTGAAATTGACAGCCGCTGAAGGCAATACCTTGCGATATATTTCGACGTATTTGGCCGATGACGATGACGACGATGACGATGACGATGACGATGTAAGTTGAGCTGATTAATTTGGTTTTAGTTTGACACACTTTACGTAGATAGGCAAGTCTTTAAGTGGTACGTAACGCCGCGTGCAGTCCATAATACAAATTTCTTAAACGGTTTCTATATGTAATCCTCTTTAACTGCTGCTCTATCTCTCTCTCTCTCTCTCTCTCTCGCGCTCTCTCTGTTTCGCTCTGTGTGTTTTAAGCTATCAGCGGGATATTAGTTCCGTTCCCATAGTTCCCATAATGCAGCCTTATGCGCTTTACGAGTTGTTTTACAATGCTAAACGACCTGCAGTGGGCATAAAATTTCCCATTACAAATGCGGCCAATCAGTAAGCCGGCTAAATTAATCGCATCACATGCCATCGCCACAGTCAACCAGTCAGCCAGCGAGCCGGCCAGGTCCAGATCCTGCGCTTCGTATAGCGATCTCATTTATGGGCCATAAACCATAGTAGCTGCAACGTCTTGGGGCAGAGCTGGTTGTTGCAACCGCAACTGCGGCAGTCGTCGGCTGGCGCTCTTCGGTCGGCAATCGGATTGAGCATTGTTTCTGGATCGGTCACCAGCGGCGAGGATATACGACAGTTAACTTATCTTGCATCCACTTAACGTCTCGCGGCAATAAATCAATCCAATGCTCAAAATCACGTTGGCAGCCACAAGGCGAATTAATCACTTTGAAAATTGTTACCCATTTGGAAACTTGTCGCATTAACTTCCCAGCTGCATGCAACCCGTTTCGTATAAAAAATATACACACACACACACATACATATATATTGCTATTGTGTATATATTTATATAGAGGGACCAGTTGGTCGATCGAAACGTGTGTGGGCAATCCTTCAACATCATGTGAAAATCGTGGTAATTTATGATTGACAGTTTTAGGCACTATTTGATATTAGAGAGCTATTATTTAAAGGGTTTAAAGTGGATATGTTTAGAGAGATGCTAAGCATAAGAGTTGGGCGAAGTTTTGTAGATTAATATCGCAAATATGAAAGATTTCTGGAAATAAATTGAGAGGAGTTTGGGAGTAGAAGTATGGCGATTTTTAGGTTTTTGGAATTGGATTTTCTCTTGAACAGAAAATTTTACTTGGGGAATATTACAGTACCATGAAAGTGCATATACGAGACAGAAGGAGGCGTGGCCTCAGCCAAATAATGTTGATTGAGATTTATAGACTAAGAACTTCAGCGCTCTTCGCCTTCCTAGAAAGACGATATATTTTCTAGAGCTGGGATGCATTTTAATTAAAATAAGTAATTTAAGTTTAATTTAAGTAACAAGACAAATTTATATAAGATAGAAATGCAACACTAAAACGTAAACCCGTTAGAAATCCTTGATATCCTTATTCAGAAAATTTCCTCAAAGATCCACAAGTGCTCTAAGCCCTTATCATATTTATCGCAATAATAAAAACCTTTCAACTACTCAAACAAACAAATTTCGTCTGGCTTGGTGCTCTGAAATGTCTTGCATTCATATCGTATATTTGGATATTTGGCTAGCAAATTGCTTAAATACTTGTGCCTATTAAAACAATTAGTCACTGCTGCTGCTTCGGCTAAGACCACATGAAGAAGTTTTATTAAATTTTCACAAATTTTCATATTCATCGAGACTATTCACACTCAATTATAGACATACCAAAGAACACAAATTTGCCGAAAATAATTAAAGTGAAATTCCAGTAGATGAGTTTTCAGTTGGGAGTTGCCAACGATGCGGCAAGAAAGGCGAGAGACGTTCGATGTCTAAGGGCTGTGTCAGACCCAGCCCAACCAAAGGGGAGGCTAACCCACTGGCGAGGCCTGCCTAAGATTCAAGATGCTACAAGAATGCAAAGTGTCATTTAAGTGAAACAAGACGAGAACAAATATACAGACACTGCCAGTCAGTCGACTTGGTTCGGGCTTGGGTTTGGGCACCAAAAGGAGGCCCGGTCTGTCAGAGGCCTTTAGTTTTGTGTGTGTGTGTGCGTGTGTGTGTGGTGTGTGCTCATGTCGTTGGCTGGCAGTGCGTTGCATCCTTAGCATCCACGCAGCTTGCTTACGCAGCCTCTATAAATTATTGCTGCTGCTTGTCATGTACGGAAATCCTTGTGTCAGTGTAGCCGAAATGCCAGGCTCTCTGCCATTGACAGAGCACGGCGGGCACGGCACGGCATGGCATGGCAAGAGATACGTTTTCAACAAGATTAGAATTTCGTTGCATCGCACAAAGCCTCAGAAACAATTCAAGCAGACACACATCTCGCAACTATAACAATTAATATCCTGGGCAACTGCTGCCGTCGAGGCATGGGCATGCAGTGCGTCTGCGCACATCGGGGCGTATGCTTGATGCCGTATGCTAATTTAACCCGTTCCCCGATTCTGCACTCGACACACGACTGTGTTTGAGTTATTAGCTAACGACTGCGTACACGCCAAGCCAACTATATTACCAAACTTGTTTCAATGCAGCTGAATGAGCCACTAATTAAATTGATAATATACTTAAGCTTAAGGCGTTGGAAAATAACAATCGGAAAAGGAAGAGAAAATTTACGTAAATAATGCTAGACCAACAATATTAAGAGAAGAATAATAGATTTAAGAAAAGTCTATCAGTCTGTAACGCTCATTTAAATTCATGAGAATTGCATAGAAGGGTGATCGCTTGTATAACGAGGTCTAACAGTGGATATGCATATTTAACAGAACATTTTGAAAGCATAAAGGTTCGGCTTTATGGCGGCTCTTTTACTAATTAACTTTTACTGAATGAGAATTGCATAGAAGGGCAGCTTAAGATATGTAGATGATAAGTCTTTAGGAATACCTATGTCTTCTTACACTAAAACTTATCTCATGAGAACTACATAGAAGGGCGACACACATTAACGCGGGCACTCAAAGCAAATTAATAGCTCCTCTTTTCTGCCTTTTTTGTTATAGATGCTA